CCAATGCGCCATGCCACTTTGCCAGTCATACACACGTTTCGATGCGTGCCCTGTCAGCTGCTTGCGTTGCATGTCGCCTTGCTCCACCCCTGTTTTATTGCTTTCTCTGCTTTCGCCCGGTTCCCGTCCCGTTTCGGCGGGGAGTCTATGTTGCAAGCTAGTTCTTGCTTTACCAGACTTTAAGCCCACACAAGCACAAGCAAGCAAACACACACTTGACAAAACCTTCTGCTGGGCCCTCGTGCCCCTTGTGCACTGTCCCGCTATCACTCATACATGGCCAGTTCCTGTGCATCATCAGCGGTTTTTAACCCAACAGGAACAGACAAACAGGAATGAATGAACCATAGGAATATCAAGGGATGGATATGTTAGCAAGAATAGGTCGGAAGAAATATCAATTTACAGCGCAAAGTGAATGTCATGAATTCATTCCAGGAGCACATGGATTTGACGCCAGGCTTCTGCAGCGCCGCCTCCAGCGGCTCCTCCGACTTGGCGGGCCCTCCAGCAACGCACCCTTCAAAGGGCCGTTTGGCCAGCCCATGCTCCCGTACCGTTGCGTTTCTCCCCAATGCGCCATGCCACTTTGCCAGTCATACACACGTTTCGATGCGTGCCCTGTCAGCTGCTTGCGTTGCATGTCGCCTTGCTCCACCCCTGTTTTATTGCTTTCTCTGCTTTCGCCCGGTTCCCGTCCCGTTTCGGCGGGGAGTCTATGTTGCAAGCTAGTTCTTGCTTTACCAGACTTTAAGCCCACACAAGCACAAGCAAGGGCTGTACTTGCGGCCCTCCTCGAAGGTCAAATCGTCCAGCACAACCTTGCCTGCCTAGCGAGCTGAAGGACCTGTCAGTTGGCCTGTCCTGCCTGTTGTTCTACTGCTTCATCCCTCCTTGCTCGAACAACAAAGTCTGTGCTGCAAGCTTGTTCTTGCTGAAACCAGACTGTAAGCCCACACAAGCAAGCAAGCAAGGACCGAACCCCACAGCAATCCACGCTCCCATAGAGGGAGCCAGGGCCCACTGCGCAGAGCGCAGGGTCTGTGAGGCCGCGCTAGGTCATGTTGGTCATGTGGGTGTCGCACTCTGTGCGTTGCTGCCAGGTCTTAGCTCCCCTGTTCTGCAGCCATACATAAACTGCTATAGTTGTGGCCCGTGGCCTACGGCACGGGGCGCTGTTCCCCCGTGGCCGGCAAAAGTAGCAATTGGGGAAGAGCGGCCCGCATCCCAACTTTTTTGGATGCATGTCAACAGCTTGTCAGGCCATGACAAGGGCATGACATCTTGTTGACAAGGCCCATGTCACACAGGACAAGGGAGCAACATGGGGCTTGTCAACAGGGGGCTTTGGAACAGGAGGCTTGTCGACACCATGTCGGGCGTGACATGGCGTCGACAAGCCTCCTATCCACAAGGGCCAATGTCAACAAGCTGTTGAAATGGGATCCCTGAAGTGAGCTCCAGGGAATGCGTCAGGCGTTCTCTGCTGCCCAGAAGGCCCCAGGCAGCCTGGGCGCTCAGGCGTGGGCCCCCTTGCGCCCTGCTGCCGACCGCAGCACCCCCAGCAGGCGCGGCCGCATGGGGTTAGCCACACACCCAGCGCCCTTCCGGCACCGTTTCACTTCTTTCCGGCGCATTGAAAGCCAAATGCATGCTTTTGGGCAGTCAAGGGCCCTTGCCTGCCGCTCTGGACGCGGGCCCATTACCGCACACCCCAACCCTAGGTTTTCGCTGGCTCGCTGCCTTGCCGCCGTCTCCCGGAAGCATCAGAAGGTCACACAAAGACCGGGTGAGCTCAGCGGTGGGCTACCTTGGCCAACTGTCGCGCCCGATTGCTTGGTGGCGGGCCTCACCGAACGCCCGTGTCCGCATTTTGGCGGGTGGGTGCATGTGAGCACGGGGGGAGGATGCCGCCAGGGCAGCGGGGCCAGATGGAAACGGGCGGGCCCTGAGATGGCATCCCCCGCCCCGCCACCCGCTCTGCCGCCTTACATGTGGAGGAGGTGCAGGGCCTTGTCCTGCACCCTCCACATGCAGCCTCACCACAATCAGGCAACCTGAAATCTACACTAGCATCACCTACATCTGCCCGATCCCCCCTGCAGTCCATTGTGCTACTCCCATCAAACCGCTGTCTCCCTTGTTGCCGGTGGCGGGGTGCTGCCCCGGGCCGCCACTCCCCACCAGCCCAGCTGCCTCCCTCGCTGTGCACACCACCAGCAAACACCCTCAGCTCGCCCCTTCCCTCCCTCACATATCCCTTTTCCCAATGTGCATTGCCGCCTTTGCATTTGGGTTGGCGGACGGGGCTGGGGGGCGTCTGGGCGGCTGGGCGGCGCGGGGGAAAGCGGGGGGCCCGCCCCCCGAGCGGGTTGTTTTGGGGGCTTTTTTCGTACCCTTGTTTTCCCTGTGTTTTTCTTGCTTTCTGCTGTCTACTCACTTAAGCAGTCTCTCTTAATTTGACAATGTTACCACTGCCTGTTGCAGGAGGGCGTGCTGTGAGCGGGACCACCCCCATGGCGGCGCGGCGGCGGCAGTCGGGATGTTCAGCATCCCCTTTGCTTTGCCCTGTTTAGCGCTCACGGTTGCCTGTTTAGGATGCCAGGTGTAACGTGAACGCTCATAAAAGTTTAGAAGCTCGGTTCATTTGGCATTTCTGACTTGCACCCCACATGGGCGGGCGGGAGGGTGCATGGGTATGTTGGAGCCGATGGCCGGCCTAGATGACCTATTGACACATGAATTTGAATGATTCTATTGAGCAATGCATGAAAGAGAGGGGTTGAGGTGAGGCGCCCGCCTCCCCCAGGCTACAGTGTCTAAAGGTGAAGGGGC